ACACCATGTCCCTCTGAGGTGTAGTACAGTATAAAGTACACCATGTCCCTCAGTGGAGGATCTCTGGATCTGGTGAAGACCAACATGGACATCGAGGACTTCAGGAAGGCGACCGGAGCTTCGTCGGTCATGTTGGCTCGAGCCGCCATGTGGAACGCTTCAGTGTTCAGAGACCAGGGACCTCTTCCTCTGGAGACCGTCATGGAGGACTACCTCAAACACGTGAGAACAACCAATTTAGAGATTTTGGTCTATTTTTCTTCTATAACTCGTCTTCTTTCAGACTCGTTGAAATAAAACGTTTATTTTACTACTTTGTTTGTTTGTGTCTGTAGATTTCTACTAAATTCACCAAAAGTTACCGTTGCATAATGCCTCATTTGCATATTTAAACATAACATGTCAGAAAACTTGTAATACAATAAATAATCATCTTAATGTGAGTGATGAAGAGGAGAAGTTTCATGTTGATATCTATGAGTTCATTATATATTTTTACCATATTCACCTGTAGAGTCTCCTCTGAAGTGTAAACCTCTTACTCTACTACTTTCTTCTTCTTTGCTGGCTGTGGTTTCGTAGGCGATCCGGTACAACAACCACGCCTTCAACACTAAGTACTGTCTGTGTCAGATGCTGAGAGAGAAGGTGGAGTCTCCTGTGGGGAAGCAGGTGCAGGCGGCTCAGAGCAGCGCGGAGCTCAGGTACGACCACTGGTTTTTGTTTTATTTATTGAAATGACTCGTGGTGGTTCTGACGCCAGTGACGTCGTGTGTTTTTTGCAGCGAGGCGTTGGGGCTGCAGGAGTTCTATCAGCAGACCCAGGACCAGCTGCAGGCCAAGAGGGACGCCCTGCAGACCAGCAGCCGCCCGGAGACGCTGGTGATGGACGGAGACGTCACCACCATGGCCGTCAGGTTTGAGCGGTGAGTCAGTGAACCTCAACGAGAGCTCCTTCTGTTTGATCTGTAGGACCGCGAGGTAACACGTAGGACCGCGAGGTAACACGTAGGACCGCGAGGTAACACGTAGGACCGCGAGGTAACACGTAGGAC